AAAGATCACATTTCAACATTTTATTCGTTGATATTCAAGAATTTTAAATATTCAAGAGTTTAATGACGCTTTCGCGTAAATTGTAAAATTAAATTTTTGCATTCTTGTTGTTCATGTAGATAAATAAAAATATTTCTTTCAACTCGCGAATAATCTTCAGTGTGTTTCTTCCTCTTCTTTAAAAAATATGCGTGAAAAAAAAAACTGTTCCTTTATCAAAACCGATGGCTTAAAGAAAAAGAACAAGAAAATATTAATGCAACGTTATTTATCTTTTCGCGTAGTTCGCACGGTCAAGAAACGCTTCGAGTGTAAAAAAAAAAAAAAAGAGTCTTAACGAGCGAGATGTATCACCGTAAAAGAGACTGTTGCTACCGTGGGCATCTTGTGGAAGATGCGCCGGTGTCGCGATAATAGCTGCCGCCGCAAAATAAAAGACCGCGTAACGATCGGGTTTACCGTGGCAGACGACGCGAAACACAGGACTTTTCGCACTTCGCTGCTCGTCGTTATCCTTATCCGTCGTAAAACACACGATGGTACGATGCGCCGTAGTGCGAGATGACAGGAAGTCGAGGTTGAAAACTAGAAAGCACAGAGAGATAGTTGGTGTGTGTGTGTGTGTGTGTATGTGTGTGTGTGTGCGCGCGCGCGCGCGTGCATGTGAGTGTATATATATAGTATCGCATTTCCGCTATAATGCATTCACTGTGAGATTCTGCAATCGTCAATTGAAAATGCACTTTTGTCATCGCGGTAATGGTGCTGGTGTAGAGCTTTGAAAAGTTTCGAGAACCGGATGTATTTATCTGCCTTTTAGCAAGACTTGAACGAAGATTCTTCCTTGACTGCGTTGCACGGTTGTAAAAGAGTGAAGTCTAGTTGAAGACAAGACATTGCGATTTACCGGAAACTACATACAGGCGAGCGCTCTTATCTACAGCCTCGGAAGCTGTGTACTTCAACTTGACGTAATTATTTTGACGTTGTGTCGTTAGTAAACTATGCTCGCGATAGTAACCGACGTTGCCGAGATGGAATATTGCAGGAACATGACAATCAAATTTGAATATCTGTCAAACTGTAGTGCAAACTGAATTGTTGGGTTTATTTGTTGCGCGTTCGTTAATTACTATGCACCGAATTCCATATGCATTTCTATTGGCAATCAAAATATTTGTACAATAACTGTAATGAATGGACGCTTCTAATCCGCGGTTGTCACTTGCGACCGCGTGAAATAATGATTGAGCAGCAACAAAAGCATTATGAAGCAAAAACACAACTGACAATATGTACACAAGTGATAAACGGACTGTGGGATGATTAGAATAAAAACAAAAAACAGTGTATTTTAGTTTTAGATGTACGTACTTATTATTAAAATCCATCATCGCAAAAATGTAGATGTTAATATTTATTCAAATACATATACGGGGGATACATTTTAGCCGGAAACGTATATATAATATATCGTACATATGTGAAACATTCAATGCATTAAGCCAACACACATTTGCAAATAATGCATTTTGTTCTTTTACCGCGCGTATAGCTTAAAACATAAATTCAAAATTTCTCCGGTTTTTTTTTGAGAGCACACACATACAAACATCGTGAGCTCGAATTACGCTACTTAAATTTGTCTAAACTTGCTTTTTAAAAATTCTTACACACCATCTTACCTCAGATTTTCTCATAATTCGGATATAGAAACACAGAAATGCTTTCAACTCTCGCAATACGCGAAGTTATGTGTGTGCATATCATGACACAGTCGATAAATTTCAAGATCGAATGTATCAGAGACGAGACATCAGTAGAAAACCTTCTGATAAGAATTGAAAACAATTCTGAAATAAGAAGTTTGGTAATAATTTATGTTTTATAATTATTATCAATTTGTGTGTTTTTAATTAAAACATTTAGTGTATTATAAAATATATATATATATATATATATATATATATATATAAAACGCTTACATAAAAATTAAGATTATTATCACATTCTGTGATAAGAGTATATCGATGTAGAGAGTGTTTGTCATTAAAATTATACAAGAAATATTTATTTCAAAATCAATCTCTGAAGCAAATTTTTATACTCGACAAACTTTTTACGTACTTATAAAAGTTTAATAAAAACACACACACACACGCAGGTTTGAAAAACAAATATAGATATTTTGTCAAATATAATGGGAAAAAGTATGTAGAGATTGAATTAATTTTAATGGCCATAATATATATATATATATATGGCTATTTCTAAACAGTAGTTTATTAAATTTATTAAACAAGAAAAAGAAATATTTGTCGTGTGAAATCAAATCGCAGAAACTTTACATAGCAAAAAGAGAAGAAAGCGGATTTCTCTTTCTTCATAGCCTCTTTTAATTTTTGTTTATAAAAACAATACCGTTTAAATTCAATCAGAAGTTTTGATTTCCTCTCTTATAGTCATATAATATTCTTATATACCATCCAAAAAGATGTACGTAATACATGTTATGTATGTGTTGTGTGTTGTCTATAGAAATATAATTTACACACAAAACACTTAGATTTTATACGAATTCTTTTAGTTGCGAACATCAATTCATAGAACCGTAATCGAATTTGTGAGCTCGTTAAATTTATTTCGACAATATTGCAGAGACAGATAATGTTATCAGATAGTAGATAATTACTCGTGTATCTCTGTGCGTGTGCACATCACATCAAATATATTTGGAAATACACAATTACGAGAAAAAATATTATCATTACAATATCATGCGTTGAACAAACGTTTGCGATATTACACATATCTTCGATTTTGTGAATTTAATTTTTTGTGATAGGTGTGAAAGAATTTTTGTTTACATGTTCGCGTGTCATTGGATATAATTTGTTGATTGATAATTAAATGAATTATTTGTAATGGTACATGTAATGTTATATAAATGCTTCGTACTCATTTATAAATGTACAATCATCGTTTTAAATCAGTCAAACGTATCAACCATCGATAAAATTACAAATTTCTCTCATGTTAATGCCGTTTATATAGATTACAATGTTTAATGCAGACCCAACTAGCTTATAAAATCGCTCGCTTCTTAGCTCACTATTGGAAGTACTTGCACATCGCAACAATGTGGTACTAAAATAGAAATAAACATCGCGTTAAGCTATCACCCATTTCTTAGTATGTATTGTACAACGTCAACAACTATAATTTTGACAATAGTTTTGTTTCGTGATCACAAGACAAGTAGTTTTTGTGTCTAAGGACTAAAACGAGAAAAGAACATTATCGATGAATTAGGCCGGTTGTGTGAAAAAAGAGCTCACTTTACAAGTCATTATTGCTTTTATATATATTTTAATCAAAGAAAAAAATTTTTAACGATTTGTTTTATAAATAAACATATCTTTTTACGTCGGAAAATAAAGGTGATTTAAATTAATAAAAAAAAACAAACACAAGTATAATAAATTATATGATAGTATTAATATATATATATATTGGGAAATTACTGTTATACTATATAATACCGAACATTACATATATTTCTACAAAACTTACCGAACAGTATATATATTTCTGCAAAATATATCGTTAATCAATTAAAAACACAAAATTAAAACCCTGTTTCAAATCTTTAGAAGATTAAGCAACATGTTTTTATCGAATAAAAGTCTTCATTTTTTTTCGAATAATTTTATATCTTTAACATATTTTTTTCTTTTTCTAAAAATTTAACTTTAACTTTATAAAATACTGTCACAAACCGTGTCACAGACACTAAATACTCAGTTGTTACGTTAGTTAAGCTTTATTCAATCTTCTATTCCTTATTTTGCGCACTTGAGAAGCAACAATTACTATAAAACTGGAAGAATACTGGCGTATCATACGTACGTATTACGATCTAACGAGAGAGAAACAGAGTATTTTTTTTTTTTTTAGATAAATAAATTTTTCGTGTGTCGCTTTAATCCTACGTCATGTATAGTAAAAACGTGTCACATCGTAACCGCATCATATCGTTTTTTTTTTTGTATATATATAAATGCGAAACGTGAACAAAATTTAAAATTTGTGCCGTCGAGGATGCAGTATAAACTGCTTTGTGATAGAAATATATTCTGTATCCAGGCTATCGTTTAGTTGATTATTGCGACTGGTTTGGAATTGAAGATGTCTTTTCTCGATGAATGCAACGTGTCATCTCCTCACAATTGAATAGCAAAACTTATATTTTTACTCCATTGCTTGTACTTTAGTGTATCGAATATTTTTATAGTAACTGTTAGTATTCGCACTTATTCTACACGCTATAATCCTATTCTATTTCATAGAGTTGCTGCAAATCCTTTAAATGCATTTACCAAGAAAAGGCCTCAACGCTCTCGAATGTATTATTTGTTATATATAAGCAATCACAGAGAATATAAATCCTATATATATTTTAAGAGCCTGCGCGCGCATCATTCTTCAATATGAACGCTTTCAGTTTCTTCAAACCAGTCGAATCATTAACCAAGAGAGCGATTTCTCCTCCGTTAAAAATTCATATATTTATCGCGATGTAATCGCGATATAAAAATATATTTCTTTCAAATCGTTCCCATATAATATCTGAATACTAGCGCGATATACTATTATTCTTTACGTCTATGTACTTCTTCTCTCCTCTCGCTTTCAATATTTATTGTAATTCCTTTACTGAGTATTTTATCAGCTTAGTCAACACACACGAGTCATTTAATTGCGATTTTCCAAATAATTTCCTTGTCTGCTCAAATTCTAAACCTTGAAACTTTAACAGCTGGTATAGTTTTTTTACGAAAGCATGTAGTTCTTCGGGAATTTGAATAATATTTACGTTTCACAATGTACGCGATAATGCGTACTCTGATATTCTGCGATATTAATTTGTTGTAATTTATTTGACAGAGAATATATGATTATAATAAAAATAGAACTGTTTTTTTTTACTCGTCATTAGAAATTTTGTTTTAAAAACCAGTAACTGTAGTGTTTTTTTTTTTTTTAATACATAATTTAGAAATGTGTGTGTGTCACCCAGCCATTAAAGAATTAAGGAGAACATACGACATTTTCATCGGAAATATTTAATCAAGTAAATGTAATGCTGTATGATTTACAATGTACAAAAATTAACAAGTGATGATTGTTGCCTAACTGAGCATATTGTATATAAAACTGATCAATTTGACACGCGTCCATTTAAATACAAATTACTACTAAATGCCCAATCAATTTGGACTCTTGTTATTCATTAATGTTTTTATTTTACTATAAATATATTACGTCTAAGATTAAGTGTAACCTAATACGAGTTAAAAGCGATTGCTAGCACTAATCATGACTCATTTTGACTCAAGAAACTGCTATTTTTAATTAAGACTGCGTTGCTCTCTGACATGGGTATCACGCCTGATTTATCGCCTTTCGGTAATTTCGCATGCGACTTTATATTCGGTTGCAGGCCTTTCGAGATATTCTAGAAACAACCAATGCGTTTTTATAACAAATCACATCTCTAATAAAATACAATCAAATTGAGATAATTAAAATACCGTTGTGATAAGCGCGATAACAACTCGAGACAACTTTACACGCACTGATTTACATGCACAATTGTATAAAATTCAAATTTACCTCCGTGATCGAGCCTGGTGTACTTATTATGTAATACAGCGCGTATCCGGGTATCCACAGCATAGATGAAAGACTCAAGCACACGCCAATTATGTCAGCCCATAACGGATACTGGTAGCGACCGCCATACGTCAGTGGTTTATATTGAACGATTTGAAATACAAAGATAAACTAAAAAATTACAAAAAACACACGATTATTTCTCAGTAGTTCAAACAATTATTTACTTTACAATTACTCTTTTGACACAAGCCAATGATAATTATCTTCAGAAGTGTATAAAGTCTATATTACAGATAGTGCAAAAATAGTTTGATACTTGCCATCATGATTACCGGCGCTAACACCACCCAGCATATGTACCAAAATCTATTCAATCGAATTCCCATCATCTGATGCACGCAGTCGCAAAATTTCTTTGCTCCGAAAATCCACGATATCGCTATCGTCTGGAAGAAGCACACCCACAGAATGGACATTCCGCTCGCGGAATAGAAGTCCATCAGTTGGAAAATATAAATTCCACCCTGAAAATGGTAATTTTAATTTTCGTTCCTTTTTGTTTCTGTTTTATTTTTTTTTTTTTTTTTATGCTACACTTGTAAAACATCCGGCAAATAACTAGACAGATTTTAACACGTACATCCGTGACCATCGGTACTCCCAGAAGAAACATTAGCAGACAGATGGCGATGGTAAACTTGATCCTGCGAGGACGAAGTACATCCGGCCAGTAATCAACCACACCTGTTATGAAAGACTCCACGATGCAAAATTCACTGTCGAGGCCGAGTATCTGCGCGACAGAGAAAGAGAAGACTGCAAAATTTCCACAATAACAATATCTTTGCTCCAAGACAAATTTAAATAATTTAGCACACGTGTTCTCCAATATATAATATGCATTTATATATAAATAATATGCATTTTTTTTTTTAGTAAAACTATAATCATGTTGACTATAGTCCGTCAATTAGAAAACGATTTATTTCATTACCAGTAATTTATATACAATTTTTGTATTTTTATTATTTTATCGTATAGACATGTAAAAAAGCTTTCCGTTGAGAGCGGCAACATGTGCGACACCCTTTCATAACGACGCACATTAACGCAAACGATCGGCGAGACAGCCGAGAGATTCCACCGTCAGAATAATAATTTCTTACGAGCAGCATAACGAAGAATATAATGGCCCACAACGGAGCACCGGGTAGCTTGAGAACGACCTCGGGATACGTAAGGAACACAAGACCAGGTCCGCTCTTGACGACCTCGGACACCTCCGTTTGCTGTTCCTGGGCGATGTGACCCAGTATCGAAAAGGTAACGCAACCGGCCAGAAGACACGTCAGGGTGTTGACTACGCAAGTGATTATTGCGTCTCTGCAAGACAAAACTCCCTTTTTGAAAGACTCCCGCAGCGACGACACTGCGTTGGAGTGCGTCGTGAATTAAGAAATAGAGCGATATAAAATCTACAATTTCTCTTGATTTCGTAAGTTGCGTAATAATACCAAACTCTCTTCAGAGTGATTATACATATGATATCAGAAACGTTCTGATTATTTCGAACCGCTTGGAGCTGCAAACTCGGCGATTGCAGCGTTGATACAATTACTTAAAGTTCTGTCGAAGAAAATGTATGTTATCGTATTACATATATATGTACGTATATATATATATATTTATATATATCCGCTTTAATATGCGCATCGATGCCTCGAAATTCTTGTGCTGATGGAAAAATTGACTTTCGAAATGAACAAAGAGAGTGTTTATATTATCGAAACTTTGCACGAATTGTTTGTCGATAATTTGTCATCGTCTTTGCTTACCTATAGCAATTGTGGTGAAACTTGTTGTACGATCCCAAGGCGGGCAGAGCGCCGGTGCCGATGCTGTACGCGAAGAAAATCTGGGTTGCGCCGTCTATCCACGGACCGGGAGTGAGCAATTCCTCCCATCGCGGGGTCACGTAGTAAAGCAAGCCCTTGTTGGCACCCTCCAACGTCACCGCTCTTACCAAAAGAATGAAAAGCACCACGTACGGGAACAAGGCTGAAAACCAGATGATCTTACCGCTCTGATGAATACCGCGCCGGATGATAAAGTAAACGAGGAGCCAGCCGATGATCAGACAACCCAGCAACTCAAACTGAAGCTTGCCGATAGACTCGATACCGGTAGTTATGCCAAGAACCCGTTGACTGAAAAATTCAACACATTTCTCTGTGCAATCAGTTCGTCGACAAATGTCGTAAATATTAAAATATTACGCATGATTAATCAGCGTGAGTAAACTACATAATTTTTTTACGACAGTAGTAAACAAAGAGAGTAACACAATTGCATAAAAAAAGCAAAATCACGTATCACGTTAAATAATAATTGCAAACATTTGTATAATTGCAACGCTAGTATGTATATAAAAATTGCGTTTCTTCCTCGTGTTTTACTTGTCTTATACGTAAAATCCAATAAGTTGGACGTTGCCATAAGGCGATTCGATCTGGCATTAAGTTTATGAATTGCAAATTTGCGACATATATATATGTATAGATACGTTCTCCTGAGATGACTTTTTACCCCGCGTTATGTCACACATTACGTAAATACGTTTATACGCGAGCACAAACCCGCTTTGACCTGATTTAAGAAAATCAATGTCGCATTTCTTAGTTCTTACATCATTCTTAAATCCTTTGATACCTTATGTCCCATGGGTACTGCAATATCCGCAAGAGATTTATGTTCGATGTAAAAACAAAAAACAAATATCTTTGTACCGTTTCATTAAACTTAAAAGAGTTCCGGATTTAAAAGCTTGTTTTGAAAAGAAAATATTCTTATCTCTCTCATAAAAAAAAACTCTTGATTGCAAGAAATAAAATCTGTCACGTTCTTTATCTTGTGCAATGGCAAATTTATTCAACATTTTATGCGCAGCTTATATATAGAGACAGCACAACGCTTAAATTGTGTTTTACGACACAATGCTTTACTTACTCCCAATATTCTTCAACCGGAGTCGTGTGATGACAGGTATTATTTGCAACTGAGCAGTTCATCTTCCCGTGAGTTCCATCGAAACAACTATCTGTGTTCCACCAATTTTCTAAGAGAGATATTTGAATGTTACGAGATATTTTATATAAAAATAAAATGTAAAATAAAATGTGTAATTATACATACACACATATTATAAATATCAAAGTTTAATAATATATTTAAGACACAGTTAAGAAGCAGTGTGACAATTATAACGCATGTAACTCTCACCACATCCACTCCAAGGAACTGTAGGCAAGTTCACGAACGTGCTTATGAGGTAGAAAAGTGTCCAAGCAATAATAATGCAATAGTACACGTCGAGGAAGAATACGATAGTCATAGTAGCGTATCCTACACCTGAATGATGAAAAGATTACTTTAGCGATTTCATATAAGTTTCTTAGTAGTTTTATCACATTTAGATTCTGTGTAATAATGTATTTTGAAACATTAGAAAATACTTCTTACCTTGGAAAATAGGACACAATTGTCCCACTAATGTCATTCCTCCAGCTCCAAGATATTGTCCAATAGCGACTTCTTGAAAAAATATAGGAATTCCACAAAACACCATCGCGATACCGTAAGTAATCAGAAAAGCACCTGCAGCATGATTACAAGACAAACAATTTGTTGTTAATAATACAAATTAATTGTATTAATTTTAGATTACATTAGCGCATAGAAATATAAATAAATAAATAATTGACATTTCTGTTGTTTTTCAATTTGATACAATTTTTTCAAACTTCCATTTTCTTACTCTTTCTCTTTCGTTTAACAGTTTTTTTATATCTCTCTTGCATTAATATAAAGAAACTTGATTACCACCGAGATACTAATTAAGCTCGAGCAAAAACCTCGGTGCACTAAATTGTACAGTGCTTTCATCGGATTACACAACTCTGTAAACTAGAGAGATAATTACGGATGTCAAACACTACTGAAATTTGATGCTGGACGAGGCGACTCGCGACTCATAGTAATTTAAACTTAACTTGAGAAAAAACACATGGGAGACGAGAATAAAATTTAAAACCAAATTTCTCTAATTTAAAATAATAAAAAAAAAAATTAAAACATTTTTCTTAAAAAAAAATTGTTTTTATGTTTTATTATCACAGAATAATGTTTTGATAACGACACAGTCGTGATTGCATGTAATTATAAGTTATCTCATTGCAAACTCGCAGAACACAATGTAAGTCCAACAACATCGCTGACAGTGTATCAACTTACCGCCGCCGTTTTTATAGCAGAGATAAGGAAACCGCCAGACATTCCCAAGTCCGACGGAAACGCTTATGCAGGAAAACAGGAAGTCGAGTTTGTTACCCCAACCACCGCGTTCGGCGTTTTCCTCTCTGTTGCTTATCTCAGTCATCTTCCCCTGTGGCGAAGAGACCGTCATTTTTGGTACAGCACGAGGCGGTTCGCGTTCCTTGTCCGTAGCCACAGATTTGGCCTTGAACTCTATAAAGGTCTGGTCGGGATCGACTTGATCCCTCTCCTCGCCCCAATAATACATTTTATCCGCCATGGCGTCTGAAACATGCCCGAAAGTTGATACTTTACGAACATTGAAAAAAGGAATCCTTGAATATAATTGAAAGGATGAAACGCGAATTTTTGTGACCTTCGTAAAATCTATTAATATAAAATTACCTGTTTCATATAAAAGTATCTGTCTTGCTACGCAGGTACAAGTTTGTTCTGTCAGACAAGAATGCACGCGATGCGTTGAATGTAAAAAAAAAAAAAAAAAAAAAACAAAGAAAGTAAGTCAAGTGTATATAGACAACATGACAAAATATAGTAACTTTTATAATAGCATCTTTTTAGAAGAAACTCACAGGGATTTATGTTTTGAAAAGTGTTCTCTGTAAAACTTCTTAAAATTTTTTGATAATTTTATTTTAAAAATATATGCAACAATTTTATTTCTCTTTAAATTATGTATTTTTACATCTAAATTTCATAATATGCTTAAAAAAGGTTTTTTTTATAACATATACACAAATATTCTTTTAAATTTTGTAAATTTATGAAGAATTTTATTTTGATTAATTATTTTTTATTAATTTGTCTACTTTCTTAAAAGTGGAGGTTTTTTCATTTTATTGTCAAAAATAAATGTTGTATGATAATTATCAATTCTAAATTATTATTATTATTGACAGTGTGTAAATTTTCTTTTCTTCTCGGAGAATTCAACTGCAAAGTGCATAATTTTTCTTTGTAATAACAATCTTTAATCGCGTATTTTACGAGAGAAAGCAATGTAATCTACGATAAATTTCCCACCTACATGCAATAAAGTCTGGCGTATAATTGTAAGCTGAGTAGTTGTCGGGTGTCGTTCGAAAATTGCTTTTTTAATACTTTTTTACTTACCTCGTTTATTTTTTATTTCTTACACAGCTATTCATTTTGTAACTTTTTGAATAATGTAAGTCTGTGGTTACTGAGAAAATTATATCACAATTCTATATTATATTAGTTATATTATAAGTTTGTGTCTAATTGCGTCATCTAAACTAACAATGTGAAGAATTAAATTTTGTTCTGTGCAGCTTTTATTTAAAATATTTAGCATCTCTACATGCTACGGTTTTATACAAAATTGCACAAATATTTAAGTTTTAGTCATTTATTTATTTTGTTTTTGAAATTTAAAAAAATTATTAATAGAGAGATTAAAATCTATTATAAAACATATTCCCAATTAGTCAAGAAACTTTATTTTTTCCACTTGCAATATTAAAATTTTAAGTGCAGCTTAATAATTTAGCTTAAACTGAACCGAATTATTTCTTATATTTATGCTTACGTAATTTAAATACTAATGCTCTTCAATCTTAAATTTGTTTTTTTTGTTTTAGTTTTCTTTACTTTCTTTGTTGATTAAAGAAAAAACTGCACAACCGGTTTGTCATCCGACATATTGTTCACAATCAGTCGCGCTCATTGTCTTCGTATATGATATTGTTTCCACGCATGAACATCGCTCACGTGTTTGGTCATTGAAAACTTCTGTCTTTCAAGAGAAACTATCTCTCTTTACGAGTGTATTTCTTTTCCCATTGTAGCTCAGCCAATTCGGGCTTCACGTCGTACATGAAGAAGGGTGCACGTGCATATCAAGTAGTGTGTACACGTGCGCAAGTGTGTGTGTTATGTGCACACAAGTGCACAATGTTTCTGTATATATGCGCTCTCTTGACTTGTGACTGTGAGCGTCATTCGGATGTGCGCGCGCTCCATGCGCGGATGCTGAACGCAAAATCAATATCAAGTTTACATCGCGTCTACATATACACGTGGACCGTGAATCTCGTTACAAAATTCGTACGCGACGTGACGCAGCACCGCTGATGCCAGTAAAATGACGATTGCGTCATCGCATTGAAGAGCTAATAAAGAGATTTGAATAACTTTACATGAAAGATCACGCACAGAAATATGTACTTGGGAAAAAATGTAGAAATTTTCGAAAAGCAAAGAAATTAATAACATTTAAAGTGTACTGTAAGTTTCTCGCTAAAAATTAAGTATATTTTTTGTAATTAATTTGAAAAACAAATATTATTCTAAATAATGTTTTATTATTCTGATGTATTTTTTCACCAAATATTACAAAAATTAAATCCAATTGTAAACTCTATGTTTTCTACTTTTGTTGTTTTAAAGTAATCTTTTCTTGTTTACGTTTTATTTTACGCGTTTTAAAATGGTCTAGATTTTTTTTAAATGCTGCATTTTTATAGAATGCAGTTTTTTTATAAGTAACATTAAAAAAAAATAGCCGTTAGCTTACGTTTTTTATTTTTACTTGTTTAAAATATTTGAAAGATATTTTATAAATTAATAAATATTTTTTATTATTGTAAAATATTATTGTAAATGTATATCTTATTATCATAGTAACAATTTGATGACATAATTCTAAAAAAAAATTATTTAGAACGGAATTTTCTTAATATAGGCGATGCTGCTTCCGCATCATGCCCTTGACTGTGCAAGGAAATAGACGACCCTTAAATGGCGTAGGTCGTGTACAAATGTGATCTTAAGTTTATTATTATACGATGCATTTACTGTTAATATGTTATATGTGGCGTCACTGTGTTTAGCGATCAACAATACTAATGAAATTTATTATTGTTAACCGCTACGGGATACAAAATTAGCTACTATTATAAAATATTATACATACATAAATTTACATGCATTTTTATTGAGATTTAAGTATGTAAATGTATACTCACGCACATAAAATGTAGTTACATGCATTTTATATCTTAATCGGCAAGAAAAGTTTTACATATTATTTTTTGCAAGTAAGTAAAAAAGTTATAGTTTCGATAAAAATGTAAATTACTCTCACACAGCGAAATGAGCATAAAAATATTTATATTCCCTCACTGTGTAGGATATTGCGTTATGTGTATTTGTCGTAAAATTTTATGTGATAAAAAAAATTGTTCTGCTTCAATTGTAAACAAGATCTTCTTACCGGAAGATATGTACAGAATTCCAATGTAGCAGCCGTGGTCGTTGATAATTTCCGTTCCTTGTGATAAGTTTGCTAAATCTGGTACTGCGTAGAATAATTACATCGTTCGCGACGAAGCGGACGCTAGTTATGCTGCGAAGGTACGTTCACGCCCGACTCTGCTTCGAGGTCAAATATCTTCCCGAATTGTTCCCTAGGAAAGCTCCCACAGCCGGGGATCGATTCTCGAGTGAACTCCGGCGAATCTACTTTGTGAGAATGACGAACTACGGAAAAGCGCACTTTTTGGAATAGATGTGATTCGGCTTGATGTTGTAAGACGTGTGTGTTTGTCACGAATATCTGCGACCTACCCCACAAGAGATGCAGTTACAGAATAATACTCCGGCTCAAGATGGGGTATGTTACCCCCTTTCGGACGCATGCGCATTTACGTGCATCCCTCCCCGGAGGACGGACGAAGCGAGGTGGCGGAATTCTGGGATCTGGTGCTGAGAGTGACCAGTACCCTTTATTCTATTAAATGATCAAAGGAGAGAACAGTTTCGCAATAATATTGCGCGTTGTGCGCTCTTTTAGAGAAACTACTGTTTAGCTTTGTCGTTTTGCACCGAAATCGAATATAGTTCTCACAACAACACATCAGCCAGTTTGTTTATAAGAAAATAGAAGTTTGGATTAACACACAAGCCTTAAAAGTTTATATATTTATTTCTCTAAACAGTTTATATGTATATGTGCATATATTCTAATAATATATAATTGTTATCAAGAGCATCTTTGATCTTTGCGTTATACGTAATAGAAAAAAAGTTTTATTTTATGGCCAGCAAGAAAAATTTGTTAAGTCTACTAAATGTTTTGTTTCGTCAACAAAACGTTTTATTTTTGTTAACAAAACAAAAATCTTAATGAGCTTAGCAAATCTTTCTTGCTGACTACATAGTAATTCATCTTCTTGCTATTCTAGCAAGCCTTTTTTTCGTGTAAACGCACGATGTTTTAATGTAACTACTGCACTCGATTCGCGTATTTTTCGCGCGTTCTCCGAAATCTCGGAATATGTAAAACAAAAATCATATAATCCCGTTTCTATTTAAAAAAATAATAAAATAGAACATAAAAAATATATTTTTATGTAGAAAATTTTACGCGCAGAATAGACACTAAAAAAAAAAAAAAAAATACAAATCTTATCGATACATAAATGCCGTTGCAATTGTTTTACTCTAGTGAGACTCATTTACGAAATTGACGATGTTGCCGGAATTTTCTTGTATTTTTATGGTCCAAAAACATGTTTAATAACTGCGACGTGGCAGAGACATTGACACATGTGTTTTTTCAACACCCACTCGATTGCTCACTGGAATTGCTCGGTATAACGGTGTGACAATTCCGTCGATAACGCACTTGTTTTGCCATGACCTTATCGGAATCCTAAAAATAAATTGTCGTTGCGATTATAACAAGTCGATCAAGAAAAACGCAACAAAAATATGAAGAGAGAAATTTAAGAATGAGATTTCTTCTGGTTATTTTCAATAAATCATAAAAAGAAGTAATTACGTAAACTTTGTATAAGAAATTAAACTTATTGAAAAAAAACGTGAATTTATATACTCTCTAAAATTATTTATATACTCTTTTATCAATTATAAATATTTAGAAATAAGTTCTGAGAAAAAAAATTTCTTCTTCTCTTTATTGAGGTGTTACCTGAACGTCATTTGCGCCCGCCACCGTGTGAAGAGATTTTATCGATAGTTTTCGCTGCGCATCTTTGACTACGGAGGAATTCGGTTGTGGCATCCAATTCGTTCCCCATGAGATCGGATGTACGTCTCCTCGTGCCTCGCTGTTTATCGCTTCGTTCGATATTTCCGACCGACCGTCGTCGCATATTGATCCGATTTCGCTTTCATCCATTGCGTCGTTTATCTCGCGATTCGTGAGTATCTCTTGCGTTCTACAAACGAGCATAAAAATTGCTATTTCGCAATTTAATTATTATTTAGTTTTGTATTTTAAAAGAACATTTACTTTCATAAGCATTAACAACCTATTTCGTGTCCATTCCGTATACGCCTTCACTACTACAAGAGTATTCTGAATTTTACTTGAAGTTTCTTTAACGTAAGTTTTCAAACGATCCGTGAAAATCGCGCATCCCAAGGTGGTTAGCGCAATCAACATCGCGATGATCCAACTGATAAAACCAGAAGACATGACTGGTGGCTTTTCGGGTGCGGGATAGTACGAGGACCAGACTTGATGCCACCATGGATAACAAAAATCTCGATATTCAGATTCCTGTGTTACATAATCACAGATCCATGCAAAAAAGTTTGTATTTTATAAAAGAAATCTGTTTTTATCTTTTTGAAAGACATCGCTCTTTTATTTCGCAAATTTATAATAGAAAGCTATTTTTATCTTTTTGAGAAATATCTTTTTATTTTGCAAGGTGCTATAAATATCGACTTTTTTCCACAAAGTATTATAAATAACTTTCTTCTCCGAAAAAGAACTTTAAAAGACTATTTTTCTCATTATTTTTTTTTCACATTGAAGAAAAAGAGAAAAGAAAGAGAAAAGAAAAATCTTTTTTCTATAAAAACGCATTGTTGACGGATTTTTACAAAAGCAATTTCTTTGTCATTTACGAGAGAAAGTAATAACGAGTCTACTCACGTAACTCCAATACTGCCAGATGCTACAGTAGAGCACCCTCTGAAGAATCAGCCACAGCCATAGAATTGCGTTAATCGTGACCCAACTAACCGATATCTTGAAGAATGCACGTGATATGTCAAGAATTATTAGCTACACGACAGATCCTAGAGTGCTATTTGTACCTGAAGGCCTTTGTAAACGAATGTCACACCTACGAAGTCCATGAGCCACATGGAGGACGGGGGATTCTTCCACAGGACGAGCATCACGGCTGTTAAGATTAGAAAAGTGGGCAGTGTGTGAATGAAATCGGTCCCGACCGTGGTCTTGGCGTATTCGCGAATGACTCTGTGTCGAATAAAAAGAATTTCATCGTACTCCAAGAACAAAGTCGCTATTTGCGAGTACACCGCGCTCATGCAGGACATGACAGGACTGACAAGACGTACGTGTGTCAGCCTGAACCTTCGAGATTATCAGCGGGGTGTGTGTTTACGCATTGAAACACGCGCGGAAACGTCTGACGTGCGCGCTGAAATGAACCGCGGAAACGTATGTCGTTTGTTCGAAGAGATCACGCGAGTGACAGAGAGGATATGCTAAGAAACATGATATGATGATAATCGCGCGCGCACACGCGCGTATTTTCGAAAATCAATCTCCAATTGCGAGACATTTCTATAAACTCTTTAAAGTTTAGTTATTAAAGCTCGGAAATTACGAAGTTGAGCTACGCTTAATTGCAGATTCTTGGAACTTATTTATTTCGAACGAAGTTGTATCGAGTTACCTTGAAGTTGAAACTGGAAAGAAGTTGCGAGAGAAAAGTTGTTTTTAAATTTACTTTTAGTTCCTCTTCACCGAGAGAGGAAGGATTTGGGATAATACAAGAACTCAAGGGCACAGAGTGTAGAAATTGTTTTACAAACGACGAATATATACTAATGGACATTTATTGGTTAAAAAAAAAACATCAATTGTAACCGTAAAAATGTGATAAAAATTCATGTGTAAAGTATTATTGTTATATATACAACTATATACATTTTTCAACTTAAGGAAGTAGCAGTCTATATGAGAAAGTAATCAGGCCCGACGAAGGATCCGCATTTGGGAAAGTCGTGCGGCGCGGCCACCATGTCTCCGGGCTCTCCGACTTGCAGGATAACGTCCAAACCGCGAGTCCAATCTGCCGCAAGTTCATCCCGCAACATCCAATATCCTGAAAAAACCAATCAAATTAATAGTCATTTAATTTAATCTACCTGCGCTAACAGAATAAAGACGCAAATTTATATCGAATCTCAATAATACCTGGATTGTCGGCCTTAAATCGCAGCGCCACGGCGCCGAACTTGGGCACAACGACGGTGTCTTTGGCCGGTGCGCAGTCGAGATTTCGCGAAAATAGCTGCTTGTTCTCGTCTAATTTTTTCACCTCCTGCAGCGACATACTTCGCCCGAATTGCCGTGCGCCCACCACGTAAAAACTGTAACCGTGTAAGTGGTAAACCAAGTTGTCGAGGCCACCTGCAACAAAGCAATGATGCGAATTATAACGAAAAAAATAAAATTAGAACACATTCTGTCGCATAAAGTTATCAGCGAAATTATTCAATTTGAGAAAAGAATTTTCACAGTCGGGGATTTTGTTGAAATTGTAGCTAATAAAGAGTAAAAAATCGCGGAGGGATATAATTGTCAGGCTTAATCAGAAAACTCAGCTCAGCTCTGCGTGGCGTCGTCGAAAGTCGCAGAATTTCTCTTAGCTGTTACGTAATTGTATTAGAAGTAATAATGTTTACAAAGAAAAGAAATATCTAAGTGCTTCGAATTATTTGATTTAAGAAGATAAAACGCGCTCTTCGATCAATAATTTCTGTCTTCGCAGCAAATACGAAATGTGGATCAAGGACGACAAGATAAGCTCGAACCAATACTCTATTATACGCTAATGTTCTCCTTCACATACTATAAGAGATTATCCCTTTATAACACGTAACTATCAATCAATGATACGCGTGCGTCATCCGATAGATATGATAATAATCGATTTAATGAACCGCGCACAATCGTTTTAACACAAAATTACCACGAAGATCGCGCAAAAGTTCTCTCAAATTTGCACAGTAATATTCGCTTTTTGTGTAACAACTTTTTTTTTATCAAAGATTGGTACAAATAATTCTGTTGGGCTTCTTTTTTTCTTGGCATATTTCATTGTTAAATTATTAGACAAAAATGTTAAGTAAAACTAATAAAAACCTTCTAAAACTTTTACAAACTGACATACAAAATGAAAAAAAAAAAAAATAAAACGAAAATAGAACAAGAGTTTTGAACTCGCTTTGTGTAAACTCGCGCGTCGAAAGTTTTGCCTCATCGACACCAAAGCTCTTTTCTTCGTTTCTACAAATTCAGAGATTCTTTCTAGTCTTTTTTTTCCACATTTCTGCTGTGTTTTAGAGACTTTCTATATTCAGAAAATGTTAAGTGCGCACTTTGCAGAAAAAAAATGCTGGGGTAAATAAAGCGCAGAATAGACGAATGAGAAACGTCTTGAGTAGAACAAACACGAGACAACCGCGTCACATTGCGCGAGGTTGCAATTGCGTTTCGATTCACGGTAGAATGGAACTAATTACCTTGGTCAAGGAGAATAATCTCGACGGTTGCTCCGAGTGGCACGTGGCGCACGTGAACACATTCGCACATGTCGCCGTCGTCGGCGAGGGGACGGCATCGGCGTCGCGACACGGTCTCGTTGTTCTCGCCGCGACCGTCCTCGTCGTTGTCTTCTCCATCGCCGCCGGAGCACAGCATCCCCGGGGACACGTCGCCGCTCTGAGTCAACAGCGGCGATGAGGGATATGTAAAAGTGACGTTGTTCACATTCAACACTCGCGTTTCCGCTCCGCCGTTACCTGAAACAAAGAGAGATGTTGATTTACTGATTCAATTAGATAGTGAAATTTATTCCCCATTTTGCTCTTCCGATTACAAAATTGATCTCGCCAAGCGAACGTAATTGCACGTGCTCTTCTTGATTTGAGTTTAATCGCTAACCTGTTTCTCGACTCCCACGTACAATCACGTGAACTTTCGAGAAGAGTTCTTCTCTATGTACGCGTAATTAACAAATGATAGGTTCTATTTTTCTTGAATTATTCCCGTTAGCGAGAGAACACGCGCTAACGATTCTTTTTCGTAGCAAACTTTACGAGAAATTAATGCAAAATCAATATGCGTACGTGTGTCGCAACTTCATTTGTACATTTCTTTTTCATCAAATGCTCGTTAAGAAGAGACCAACTTTTCATATTTTCCAAAAACATCTAAATCATTTGTAAGCGCAAAATAGTTTCGCGGAAGATTGACGATATATGGTGAAAGTACGTACTTCCTCCCGACTGAGATACGTATACGATTATAAATACCGCAACTTGATAGAAAAATTTAATCCTGATTGGTGAATAAAGAAAAGAGATCATCGCGCGTGGTGAAACTCACGTCGTGAAATTGTTGATCATGCTTGCTCGAGATTATTAACGCGCGGTTATACAGACCGGTTGTAATTTGATTTTCTGTACTTTCACTAGTAGAGTGTTTACTTCTTTGTTTGTATCCTGCACACGTACCTATGACTTCCGTCGCTTGCATCTTGTAATTAATCGAGAGATATGTTGTTATATCCGTTTTGGGCTTGGCCAGAACCTGCGGCATTTTTCGTATATTGAGAATATCGGTGACGCACAGACTCTCCCGATCGCCGCATTTTTCCGCGGGATTCGTCGTCATCGCCAGGCGGCTCGTCTCCATCTCGTCGTTATCACGCTGATCGATAGTGTCCGCCGGAATTTCCGCGCCGCCTTTGTAGGTGAGCACAGCTGCGCCATTTATCGTTGACGCGCCGCATTCTTTTGCCGTGTGCACGTTCATCCAGTAGGAAGCGATGCGTTTGCTCGCTTTGAGGACAAAATCCGCCCTTTCACCTTTAACGAACAACGGGAATCGTTCGTCATTCTCGGCGCGCGATGAAAATTCAATGGAAATCGCGTGGAAGTAGGGAAATGGAAATTTGCTGAAATGAGCGCCGCGCGAATAAAACGGAGTTGTGTATATATATGTATATATATGTACGTCGATTTATAACGTGCGAAACTTTCAGTTCCAAGATTTTTGCGAAAGCGTTCTCGAAAGCGTCATGTATATATATCTAAAATTTAATATATTATCCGAAACAGAAAATATTTCTATAAAGAAAAATAAAGTGGTAGACGAATTTATGATTGGAAACTACTCACGAGCAATATGCGCTATACGAGCGATAAACTACGAGACACGTTTGCGTATTTACTTCTTTCGCACCTAAAAGATTCTTCTTTTCGCATACGCGCAAAAGTCTATTCCTCACTACGCGAAATCTTATGTAAGATGGGAAAACAACGGTGTTGCAAGCAAAAATGTGTAGATTTTCCCGAAACCGTTACAACGGTTGTACCTCGCGTGCATCGTATTAATGCGCGCGGAAATATGATTGGAGAGAAAAACAAACGGGACTTTTAACCTTTGGCCAGAGTGATCGAAGTAACCTGCCGCGGTTCTATTGGTTGTCCGTCGAGCGCAATCAGAAGCATCGTGTGGCCATCGATGAAAAGTGTCACTGGACATGCACCGGCGCCTCCGGCGTTAGCAACGCGGAATCGGTGACGTCTTCCGGGAATGACTGTGAACGTGCTCAGAGGAAGCGTGGGTTCGTTTGGCTGACGACCTCTCCCATTAATCAGAAGTATTGCCGGTTTCGAGTAATCCTGATTATAGGATATTTCCGGCAAATGTTGCCATTGGGTTATCAGAACTACATGATTAGAGTCGTCGATGTCGTAAAGAGCGCGATGGGATTCCCGAAGATCGGCCTGTTTCACGATCAGAGGGCCAAAGATACCGTTACTCACGTCAGCGCCTATAAATATTATTAAAACGAGCGATATCATAAACAGTTAACAATGAGTCGTTAGAAAGAAATAACTTATTAGCTAACACATCAAATATAATAAGTCACATCAAAATTTTACATATATATATGTATATACCTTAATATATTAAAAACAAATTTAAGATTTAATGAGCCAGTCAATAAGTGTATTAACTAAATAATAGATGAAAAAAGCATCTAAATGGACGGAAAATATTTAATCGATAAAATCAAACTTAAAAAAAATTTAAATAGTTTTTGATGCAATATTTGCAGTACTTATTGTTAATAATTCAATCTTTTTTTTGTTGATCAAATATCGATATAAAATACATTTGGTGCTGTCTTTCTTTTTGTAGTTTTTTTAAAAATCGTATTTATAAAACGCGACTTTACATTGTTACACCGTTCGATTTGCAATATAAAGGAGAGCGCTGATTTGTATAACAAATATGTGCCAACCTGCATGTGCATGCCAGAGATGTGTACCGGCTACTGAGGCACGAAATTTGTATTGGAAAGTAGTGTAGCTCGGTATTGGGCACTGTGTGACTAACGGCGCGCCATCCATGTAAGGCATTTCTATCTGTGTTTGCCCACGCCAATGCATCGCCACTGCTTTACCCGGAAGACGATTAATCACATCCACCACTAGAATATCGTTTTCGCAAACCTGTAAAAGCGCAAGCCTGTCTCATTATTCGCCATTAGACATGCCGCATGTAATCAACTTATTATCACTGGTTGAAAGTCATTGCTTCGAGACGTTAAGTCGCACGCACGCACATGCGAATAACATGCCGCAAGTTAAATTTCCGACATTGCTGTCAACGTAAACTTCGTTGTGTTAAGCAAATAGTTTTTGATAATAATTTTTTTCTTTAACATCGAATTAGTTTAACATAAGTATTTTTTGTTAATGAATATATAAAACCGACTTCGATTTGATTGGGTTTGAACCAGTATTTTTACAGAACATGTATTTTTACTTTTGTGTACTTTTAACTCTCTGATTTCTTAAAAATTTATTTCTTCTGCTAGAAATAAATCGAACTCATCTTGCGTAATATCGATATAAAAAGCATTCTACAATACAATTTTTAATTCGAAAGACTGATCGACGGAATAAAAAGTAAATAATATCTTAATATAATTTTACTCAGATTTGATTTTATTTTAAACTTGATGCCACAAAATGGGAAATGAATTAACCTTTAATTAACATTTCTAAAGTTTTGCAACAATTGTTACCGAGGTACATCCAGAGATCTGACAAATATCATTTCACTTTAAAGTGTTCATTTAGTTAAGCAAGCCATGTGAACGTAAATGGTTCCAAGAATGCAAACAGCGTAATTAATTAACCGCTGTATTGTACGTTTCTCAATCAATTAATTTTAACAAAGAACAAAGTCTCAATTGTTGAAGCTAGACAAATAAAAACAATTGTGTTTTAACAAAGTCACGCGAGAAATGTTTATTTAAATGTATACTTTAGTACGAAACATTTTGTATCGTGTGTGTGTGTGTGTGCGCGCGCGCGTGTGTGGGAGAGAGAGAAAGTATACATAAAACAAACTTACATTAAAATTGTGTATAAACAAAATACGTAAAACTAATTTTGCTGATTAATAATCAGAGAAATCATTGTTTTTTAACTTTCTCAATATTAAACGTATAAAGGCAAGTAACAACTTCAACACTATCAAAAGTTTCTTTCACAGAATCTTACTCTATTCCCAATGTGGCCAGTGTATACTCAGACTATTGATCGGTGATGCACATTGAGGTCATACCTGAATAGTAGGACCTGGCATTTGACGATTGGCCGTAAGGATACCCCGTCTATGCCCATCCGCGGAAATGCAATGATTGGCCAAGCATGCTGTTTGGTTCAGTGGGCAATCCCCGCATGATCTGTAAGCAGCAACGTACAATTGTTAATCCCGTGTAATCGCATTAAATACGCATCTATTACAAAGCAAATCAAACTGTCTACGTATTTCTCATCAAAAGCAAAAGCAAATCTGTAGGTAATATCTTCTATAACTTTCTTCGTTTTTCTTTTACCAGTCTGAGAAATATCAAATCCGTTTGTTTTCTTTAGCAATTATATAGTTGCAAAGCTGATTTTTTTGCAACTAGGAATCGGTAGAAAGGTATATAGATTTAAATCTTGACTTGCCAGCAAAATTATGTAGTTAAATAGTATTGCGTAACGGTTACTGCACCGAGACGAAAACAAGCGGTAAGCGTGACGTAATAATTGCAACTCTAACGATGAAATGATGCTACAATCTTGCAACCAGAAAAACGGACAGTTTATAATGTAGCTATTTGATGACATATACGAGAAAATACACATTATATTTCCGTTGCGTGAGGTGGTTGTCATTTGATGAATTTTTTATAAACCTAAAGAAACTTTCTCTTTGAATCTTTTCGATCAAATGAGCAACATTCTTCAGCACAGTTGCAGTTAAAAAACTTATTAAAAACTCAAAATTAACAAGTTAAGACAAATTCTTAAAATTTAATTTCTTTTTAGTCATTGTGATCTTGTGATTACAAAATCATTAAGATTAATGTTAAATTTATATAAACTCGTATATGTGTATATTGAGTAAATTAGTAAACTGTGTTAAGTACTTACTGCGCAAGACCGTTCGCAACACTCATTTAAGCCCATTCTACATTAAGATGCAATCGCAAGTAGCAGGTTTCGTGGAATTAACCAATCACGTTGGTCAATTGACTGATTTGATCAATGCAATTAGTCAATTCCATTCAAGATCTACTTGCGTTTGCGTCTTCCGCTTAATGTAGAACACAGACTTTATAGATATATAAATTCTATGTTACTTACACCGGTATTCTTACAGTTTTTACTTTTTATGCTATTTGTTGCTTTATTTACTCTGTTTTTATAGAATTTTTTTATTTATATTATAAAAGATCTCTATAAACACTCTATAAAAGATCAAAAAAAAATAAAAATTAAAAAAACTTATCATATTCCAAATCAAAAATTATTTTTTCTTATTTATACAATTATTACATTTTATAGTATAATTATTATATTTTATTTAAATTATAAATAAAACAAATTCAACATATTATAAATAAATTATAAATAACAAAATCCAGCAAAATAAGAAAACTTATTAAATGTAATATGCAATTTAAAAAAAATTTTTTTAAATTTTGTTAAAAACTTGTAGAAAGTTATTGGAAAAAGAAAAAAAAGTAGAAAACAATTATGAAAGATTGAAACTTAACTGATTTGATAGTATGAATCAATTAATTTGCAAGTAGAAAGTTTGTATGAATAAATGTGATTGCTCAAGTGAATTTCCGTTTGTTTATGTTAAGATCCTACTCGCAAATGTACGTGCGCGTTCGTATTTAAATCCTTACAAAGTGAACTCGAAGAGTAATGCAACAATTCTGCTGCAGCTACATGTGATTTTTTGACTTACTTGCTGAGCGACTGGAAGACTTCCAACGTGAGTTTCACCCGACAGATCATGGGCCAATCCAAGTGATGACATGGCCTGTCGCAGGAGAGGAATGTTTGTTCTGGAAATGAGCAGAAAGAATGAGGCAAAAAGAGCTTGACACGTCTGATTCGAAGAAAGCAGTTTTCCCTGTATGTACAGTTCCATCGGCCGCAGAAAAAAATATTAAGCGGCAGAGATGAAAGTCACATAAAACACATAGAAAGTATCGTTTAGCGAAAAAAATTTATAATATTACACACACGTTACGCGGCACACAATAACGATGCCGCGCGAATTAGAAAGAAGCAAATGTACACTCGCACATTACTCTGCACATTATTGCGCGTTGTCACTATCATCTATCATCGACTTCGTTGTCAACGTTTATTTTTCATTGCTACAACACGTAATTGCCTTATAAATTTTATTTTTTGACTATCTTTTATTAAGACCTGCGCTGCTTTGACGAGGAACAATCAAAAAGTCACATTGGTTTATTTATTAAAGCGAGGTTCTCTCTCTCTCTCTCTGTACACATCTTGTTCATTAATATAAACTAAGTATCTGTTTTAACTTACTGGGTCTGTAATTGTTAATATGCAAAAATGTCGCCGCAGCTATCATCATAGTTACTACCACGAGACATCGTAAGATGTACGTGGAGAACGTTGGTGTCGCTATGTAGTGATCGGACTTAGGAGAATACATCGTCTACCGACGTTGTTATACGACGATAACAAGAGGCAATAACATTCCGTTCTTTGCACTTCTTCGATAGTCGGCGGACTTAGAACGAACTTTGTACAAGTAATTAATTTTCATAATGCAAACGTGCTATGATTGAGTAATGAAAAACTATGAACGTACATACGTTATCAAGAAGCAACGTATATTTGGTGTGTATATCCAGTCTGATCGAGATTTGCTTAATTGTAATGTGTTAATAAAAGCGACAGAAAAGTGCGTGAGATTGAATTTCCAAACAGCACATGTCTATAAAAGACGATTTAAAGATGACTTAAAAATATCCTAATGTGTTTTAGACATCTTTAAGATGTCCTTTTTGTACTGTCTGAGTTAATGATTTCCCGCAAAAGACCCTGGATCTAAAAGAAGAGCCATTTATGCACAAAAGAGATCAAAAATTGAATTTCTGTTCGCTACGTTCCCATTTCCACGCCTTTTCCAGGCTGCACGTGGTCAATTACGTCAAACGATTTTTGCAAAACAAATTGATGAATTGCAAAGAACTGTAATCAATTATCTCGTTCTAATTATTCGTGATGGTAGTTGCCGGACGCTATTTATCACGCGTTATTTGTCGAGATGTTTGACAAAAAGTATTCTATATGTTGATTACATGTTGTTCTAAGTGAATGAAATAAGCCTTGCAGAATTACTGAGATAACGAGATGAAAAGCAACTTTTTTGCGATTACCTAACATTACGTTGTCTTAAATACACTGCATATTATCTCTTACAAAATCATTCTCTCTCATTGAAACTTAATATAATAACAGATTGTCTCTATCTCTTGCGACAATATGCATGTGTGAAATAAAATTTCTTAATTTTTAAAATAATTTTACAAATATACATGTATTTAAAAACTGATAAATATTCTCTCTGGATCTCAACCGTTAATACAACGTGTGCGTATATTCCGCAATAAATTTCATTTTGTTTGCCACATTTCTACAAATGCACCTACACACACATATATATTACATGTATATATGTAATTTTCTGTTATTAAACCCATATTTGCGCCAATTGATTTGTGACTCCGGAGTTAATCACTATGTTGCACACGGACAATTATCTGCAAACCAACAAAAGTCTGTGCGCGGTTTTAAATGCAACAGAAAAAATAGAAACGCGAGAAAATTGTTAGAGCAAAAAAAAAAAAAAAGAAGAAGAACTCTAATTACAATCATGCATGAAAATAAACTTTAAGAAGAGATGTATATCAAGAAGAAAAAAGATTTTTATGTGTCACTGCACCACTGCGGACGTTTACGATGAAGGCGATATAACAACACCGCGAACACAGTCGCGCTCCTCGTCGACGACTGATGAGAACCCGGTCCGAAATTCGTTGCCAGAAGCGATTCCCGCTCCCGCTCTCTTTTGCCAGCTCAACGTTCTTCTTCTTTTCTCTGTTTGCCGAAGATTGACGTGTTACGTCAACGGTGAAGGATTATCGAAATTGTTGGTGCGAATTTTTTTTATTCGTGAAAGTCAATCCATGAGGCAACTCGAGTCGAAACTCCAGACGAAAGTTAGGATAAAAATATTTACGACGATTTTATGACGAGCGTTAGTCGCGCATAAACACATTTAATAACACCGTCTGCGTATTACGTTACAATCTCAGGTACGGCATTGTTTCGCTATGCAATTTTCTACCATTAAGTTTTACATTGGCCTGATATTAGATGCAATATTGCGTTATCGCATTGCAACAATTGAATAATGTGTTGCGCAAAAGCGGTAAAAAACCGATAATGTCAGGTTTTTTCACTCGAATATAAACTTGTCAGAATCTACACAAAAATTATTATAACAATATAAAGTAATTGATTATTCGAGATTATTGATAATATTAAATCAATGTTTCAGACACGCAAGCTATTTTACCAGTTTGAAAAGCTATTTTTCCAGTTTGGAAATAGTTTTTTTCTATTGAAAATACTCGATGTATATTACTTTCTTTTTTATTTTACTCGTATTAAATACACTGTTATATGACAAAGTTTTATTCGTTTTTATATATTACAAATCAAAACAAATAGATCAAAACTATCAGTTGCATTTATTTGCCTCTTTGCTGGCAACTTTACTATTCATTTAGTTACCGATTCTAAAAATTTTTTCTTATACTCGCAAAAACGATCGATCAACGTCGGAATGCGACTGTGTATCGGACTCGCATTTAATACAAACTCAGCGTGGTAACTTGTTCGAGTAATAAAAGTGAATTCGAGTGAAAAGCACAGCTGACATTTAAGAGTCAGAGGTTGGAACGTCTGTTCAATTTATCAACAGCTGTAAGAAATATGAATGAGGTCGCAAAATGGTAAATTCTGAGAATTCGCAAAAATGACGATAATGATGATAATGATAATGATAATGATGATGATGATGATGATGATGATGATGATGATGATCGAAAACGAAGTAATGGCTAGGTCTCATAAATCACTGCACTATGTCGGTTGTAGTCACGTGGACTCCGTTAATGTTAACGAGCGACGTTGCCGGCGTCGTCGCGCATCCAATAAGCGACTGAACGAAGGTGTTCAATTTTGTCGTTACAGTGTGGACAGTCGGTGTGACGTATTTCCCCACCTTCTCCAGTCCTCTTATGAATCAAAGATCATTGATGTACGTGACTGGTTGTTTTTTTCACGAGCATCCGCGCGATCGCGCCTATCGGCATGCATTTGCAAGTCTCTCGTTGAACGTGGGACGACCTGTATGTTTGAAATATATGTCAGACACTACGTAACGTAAGTGAAAGTTTGCCCCAGCGCGCTCCTACGTATCAGTCCTTATGACTGGACCCGTTCTATCTCTTTTTCTCTTTCTCGCTACATGAATACTTTCATCTTACGACCTTTCTCCTTCCTCCCGGTCTGTTGCTGGACCTGCAGATTTCGCTTTCGCTGATACCACCAAATCGACTCTTACTCGTGTGAAAAGATAAAAACGATGGTGGTTTGCTAGTCGCCACTGTGTGGAAAGCAAGTGACGTTTCACTCTTCAGAGTTTAGATTCGAGTTGTATTCGCGCACTTTGGATTGCGACATCATTATTAATTTGAAACTTTCTACAGAGAAACATGAAATATGCACGCAAGTCTTTTTAAATTTTCTTGTTGATATGTATATTTTTCTAAAAGAAAATGTAATTAAACCAAAATAGATATCAGAAATATGCATTAATTAATTTAAAGATGCGATCAACTTAAGTTAGGATAATTAAACGATTCTTTGTGAAATAACGACATAACTTTGCTTTCATTGGAAGCAGTTTCTAATAGATATATATCGTACAAAAATATGTTAAAGCAAACGGTTAAAGTAAACGGTTGCATTTCTTGTTTGCAACAATGCATACAAGTATTTTACTTTTCGTAATCACGTTGCACGTCTAGAGTGAAAGATAAAAATAAAAATAGTAAAATAAATAATTATAAAAAAATACAATGTAACAAAAGTAAAATTAAAAGTACGTGTTTTGAAATTGCTTTATTTATTTTTATTCAATTTAATTAGCATTTTCTTTTCTCTTGAACATAAATTACTATTTTAAATTATTATTTGAAATTGCTATTTCAGAATTACTATCGTCACAAAGTGACAAACGTTAAGATATTATATAAATAAATGTCTTTGCAACAGTTTATTTTGTGAATAAATTACAGATAAATATATGTAATTATATGCATTTATATACAAGTTTGTTTTCAATCGGAAAACAATCGATTAGTGTTTCTACGTTTACACGATCGTAGTAGTATTACTTAACGTGCAAACACATTGAATAACGAAGTTGCATTACTTAGAATCTGTGATGACATTATCATATTATCCAATCCATATTAAAGATTATTAAGTTATCATGACACGCTAAGAAAGTATCGCTTCCCGACTTCGAAGGTGCAATCTGAAGTCTTATTTGTTTCAATTCTTATTTCGGCTTCGCACTTATTTTATCGTACTCACGTAAAATTATATCAGAAAAAAGTTGCAGGAGATGTAAAGTCACTATTTAAACCTACTTATCTGTATCGAATATTATTTCTTAGTGAAACTTTCTCTCTTTCTCTCTCTCTCTTTTTCTCTTTTTCTCTTTACAGTTAGCTGCAAATTTATTAAATATTGTAAAAAGACTTAGCCTAAATTTTTCTGACATTTTTTTATTTTGGTTTTTTCTTGTAAAAAATGAGTATTGTTTTATCTTTTCTCGGCAGTTTTTTCTTGATATCCTTTTGTACTCTAATCTTAAGTTCAATATTGTTGTTGATATGAAGTTTCTTGTAGATTGTCGAGTACTCGAAATAAATTACATTTATCTGAAGCAAACTAGGTTAATGTAAACGCAAATGTATATAAATAAGATATAAAATATATATAAAATATAACGTGTACACATTGTAGGGACACGCTTAATTTAAATAATGATAAGTTTTCTTTTATCCTCTTAATACAGACCGTTTATTTCACTTACGCAAATTAGAAATGACAGCCGTGTATAGATTTTTAAGAAACATGCAATATATTCTGTTGCCTTAAATTAATGTTTTCAATGCTGTTGCAGCATGTTTTTGTGAAAATTAATTTGCTTATCTAAACTAAATATAAAACTTTCACGTCAATAAGCTATCTTGTTGTGGTAATTTATAGTTATTTTTTTCTTATTTATATCTTATTTATATCAGGAAGTTTTTACTTATCAAATATCCCCTTACATAACGTTGAGAATAATTACCTTTGGTGCAACACTTGATGCTTTCACTTGTTTACTTCAGCGTGACGCATCTTCAATTTTCTACAATCCACGAAATTTCTACAAAATATCGTGCACGTACATTTTTCTATACATAGTATAGATTCTTTTCTTGTATAGGCGTAAATTACTATATTTTAAAATACGAAGTGACAAGTAAAATATTACATAAATAAATGTCTTCGCACACGCACACTGCCACAATTAATCTTAAAATTATAGATAGATTATATGTAAGGAAATGCTCGACTTGTAATTGAACTTTACGTGCGTAAAATTGCACCTATATATATAACACTTATAATCGCGCTGTGATTCCTGCGATCGACATATTTGCTAAAATATTCGTACATGTCGGCGCTACAGTGTGATTCTACTGCAATATATTATAATATCATATATACAATTAGGATCAGTAATAAATGATATGTTCTCATTAACCTATTTTCTTCTAATATGCTACATTGATGCAATAAATCTTTCAGTTATGCGTATTAATTATTGCCTCTGTAATTCAAGATTTTATCTAATATATATATTATATATATATATTCAAGTACAGAAACAATTATATCAAAAATCCGAAAATAAATGGAATAATTATTTTACATTTTTTATATAAACTTTCTATCAGTCCACGAAATCAAACTTAATATAAAAATGACTATTTGAAATTTTACTGTTAGAAAGTAAAAATAATATTATTAATTTACTATTTATATAAAAATAAATTATTAACAATGTCGTTTACTTTATAATTATCACAAAACGTCGAATTTTTAAGTAATAAACGAAATAGAATTGCTTTAATGTCTTAAAAGTGTTGAGTTTCATGACTGCATGTAAAAACTGATTTCAGCGAAGTTCTCGCATTTCTTGGTCAGCGACCTGTTCACTTTTTGCAAGCGAGTGAAGAATAGTAACGATCAATTTTTACAGCTCTAATTCTGAAATTACATAACTAACATTGTCATATCATGCAAACCTCTGACAAAATGTGTTCCAAACCAAAAAACTTACGGCAATCGAGCGGTTTATGTGTCCATTTAGAAGACAACGAAAACATTTCTTCGAAACATAAGAGAAGAGAAAGTGAAGTTGGAACGACAAAAAAAATTATTTATGTTTGGATCGGCTCCCCGAAGTATCAAAGTGTCACTAAAAGATTCGAAAAACCCCTAAAGCGGAAATATTAAAAAGTATCTAAGAAAGCGATATTGTCAATCTATGTAACGCTATGTACTTTCACACCAGACTTTCGATTTATATGTTTCTGTTTATTTCGTATATTTATTTACAACTGACATGTTGTGTGCAAAAAAGCATTTTAATAATCGCATATATGATAAAAAGAGAAAGTTTATCTCTTATTTTTTGCCTATTATTGGAATTAATTCAAGCATAAAAAAAATTATTGTATAAGTTTGCATAAAACTTTTCTATGACAAAAAACCACAACAATTTTGTGGTCCAATATACTGCTATTCTTCTACTTGCTTTTGATCGGATAACGGTAGAGATAATTTTGTAGGTGTTAGGATTGAAAAATTGACAGTTTCTCATCCCGTTCCTTTCACCAAGAGACAATAATATCTCTCTGTATAAACCTGATAGCGGCCATGCGCGATCAGCATCCTTGGCAATGGGATTGGTTTCCACTGTGACGGGAACACACGTTCTTAACTGTAAATCTTGATTTAAGAACGTTCACCTCTCGCACGATGTCCAATCCGCTTACAATCAATCATCGCTTTACTTGCTATCTCTTACTTGTTATCGTCATGAATATATCACATAAATGCATGTTTGTTATGTTTCGTAAAATGATAATTCAGTAGAAAGTTTTGCAATTTTTCATCGAAGAACGTGTGCGTGTATTTACGGAAGAAAGATCGTATTACAATTCTGATAAACGAATCTATATCTTATATATATGTGTAAGATATAATGCAATTTTAAATTGCAGCTAATTATAAAAATATTTCTCAAATAAAGATTTTCCTGAAAAGTTCAAACTGAAGTTTTACACTTTGACTAATTTTGAAGTTCAAAACCAGTATGTATATATAGGTATGATTTTGCTGTATGATAGTAATCATCACTTCTTCCATGATCATTTTGTAACTTTTCATTTTATTTATTATATGATCTTGACATACAAATGACAATAGAAAAAGAAAGTTTTAAAAACTGTTTTTTTAAAACAGTAATTAAATTATGATACTTTTATCCTGTATGCGCGCGCGATCTACTTTTTACTCCGCTTTTCCAATAAGAGATCATCCGGGAAATAAGTATATAACTGTATCACGTTTGTATCACGGATTGATTCGTTAAAAATATTATCTGAAGAAATCTATTTTGTTGACAGCACACTTACTTAAATTTTTGCCACTTTTTATTGCAATTAATGATTAATTAATGATTACAAATAGCCTAATGCAATAATGTCATGTCAATAAAATAAAAAATAAATAGTATTTTTGGTGACGTTTTTTAAAATAAAAATTGAAATTACAAGACATAAATTTGTGATATTTTCTTGTTAACTTTTAATGTTGCTCTTTTCCTATTTCTCTCTCAATCTTTTATTTTAAATAAAACTTTTGAAGAAACTAATACGAGAAATTAAAATATTTTTTTTGTTACTTTGGTTTTAAATTAATCGTAACTATAAGTATTAAGATAGAAGTTGTTTTGTTTTACTCGCAATACGGTATAAGAAAAAACAGAATTTTTCTACTCGAGCTGTAAAATGTATTGTAGTTCTACTTTGATTTTAGTTTGTAGCCGGTTATTTCGACTTTTGTTATGAGCGTTTGCAGTAATTTGTATCGTTACAATTGAGTGAATCGCTTACATTTAGTGTTCGTTTACCTGGTACGGGCGTTAGATAGATGATGGTCGCGACTACAGAACTCAGGCCTACGAAAATCCCGAATCTGAAGAACATGGCTGCTCTTTTGAATCTTGGGAAAGTCGATCAATCTGTTAGCCGAGATAGCCGTGAGATGCGAGAATGTGGAAAAGAGCGAGCGTTCAGAGTGCGCGGATCTAGCCGGTGTCGTAGTCGCGGACACACTAACACCGCTCAAGCAAGTTCATTGCCAGGGAGAGAGTCGATTCTCGATTAAAAGAAAGATCCTTCAAGTGCGGAAGTTACTCGCGTATACGGCCGAGATTATACACGGTGTGTCTCTTGAAAAGAACGATCGCGATATTTATTAACCTTTGAACAGAAATCTTGAACCTCATGACACTTAATCATCTCTTTTCTCAAGATTTTTTTCAGAGATAAGTTTTCTCTTTTTTATTGGTTTATTTACACTCGCAAGTGGCTAATTATATTGATTGTATATGTAAGTTAATAATATATACGTATTGTTCTTGTGGGTACTCTGACTATATTATTATTTATTACAAAGACATTTAAAAAGAATGTCTTTGTGCAAAAGAATGCTATAGCAAAGAAAGAGAATGAGAGTAAAAAAAAGTTATATATGTTGATTGTTAAAAATTCTGCAATTAAACTGTGATTGCAAATGTAATTAATTGAAGAAAAATACTGATTGAAAATCAGTGAAAATAGGACACCCAATATAACGCTGGTTCAAGAAATTGTTTGTTTGAAAAATTTTCTAGAAAAAATGAAATAGTAAACTGACTTTAAATCATCTTAAACCTGGTATTTATAAACTAATTTGTTATAAATTACATATTATATTTACATTTATTAACGCTCTTTGATGTTTATATTTAACTTAAACAAAATGTTATAAGTATATCTAATACAATATTGTATAGTCTTTTTCACTATAGTAAAACTCGATGCAAGATCTCGAACGGAGGAGAATTTATCAATCACTTTGGTCAATCAATTTGATCAATAACCGAATTGTGCAAATGTGAGATTAGTCAATTCTCTATTCGGATCAATTTTTAGCATCGTAAACACAAGATTTAAGTCTAGTTCTTTAATAAAATAAATTTTTTTTTTGAAAAAATTTGTTTCATTTTACAAATCGATTGAATAAAGATTTAAACCATCGTTTATCTGTCAAATGTGGACCAGAGAGAAGCCTGAAAGTAGGTTTTATTGCATTGTACGCTGCGTTCCAATATTCACTTCCACTACTGGAAATCTATAGCACATGTGACATGAAGTGTATAAGTTTTTAGTACTTGCAGTGAATATCAGAACGCAGCTGTAGTTTCTTACGACGCTTTCAGCTACTGCATTCAGCGCCTTATATTCACAAAAGTGAAACTACGGAACGAAATCCACTTTCAGGCATAGACGGTATAGAAATGTAAGGTTTTAATCCATGCTACATTCACTGTAGATAAGTAGTCTCGAATTGATACGAATCTTTTCACGATTATAAATTGCGTAAAAAACAATTTAAATACTTTTTTTCAACTTTGAATCTAAACTACGGAAAATATTGAAATTATGTGACTCAATGTCACAATTGGCAAACCTAAAACTCTACGTGCAAATTGCACTGATTTCATCGCTACCAAAGCACTAAAGTGTACTGAGCGCTGGTCTTTTGCTACATCCCTCTGTAAAATAAACTATTCTTCTTATTTTTATATGTAAAAAAAACTTATAAATATCTAATTTAAAAGTTCTTTTCAATATTAACATATTATTATATGATTAACAAATAAGTTAATCATATAAATGATTAACTCATCATTTACATGCACGATTTTTGTCACATAATTTCAAAACTATTTTCCTATCGAGGATAAGTAAAGAACACAGTTGTAATTGGCAGATTGTTTTTGTTAATAAAAGAGAACATTATTTTTAAACAAAACTTTCTTTACTGCAAAACATTTCATAATTTATACTTACATAGTAAAGTTTATAACGTGTATGTTTAAACTTATTACGTAACAATTTGAATATTTCTGTCTTTTTTGACTGTATCGTGTATATGTTTAATAGTGTTGCATAAATTACGTATTTTGCATTTTAATTAGGAACCTACGACGATGTTCAGCTTTTTTTTTAATGGCATCAACAACAAATAATGGCTACAACAAATAACAAAATATAGTTATTATAAAATCTTATATACTTTTGTATAAATTTAATAACAATCATAAAATATAAGCATTATGAAATATATGTTTATAAAACAAAACAAACTAAAAGCATACATAACTAATAATTATTTCAAAAAATACTTATATATTCTTCAAATAGTGTATAAAAACATTTACCGTGTCATGTATTTTTTGCAACTGGTGTAAGAAGTTTTCATCGGTAATCTGAAAACACTTCGTGCTGTTATTACTGAATGTGATGTACTTGCATTGTGTAAAAATACTCACTATCATAAATCACTAATATTCTTACATTATATCAAAACCAAATTATAAAATACATTGACTATTAAATAACTCTATAAGACGCACGTAATACATTCTACGTATGAAAAAGAGAATTTATAACTTACACGTATATATATAAAATAAATACATAAGTTCATACGTACCATCGCCAGGCCTTTGTCTGAATATATGTTGTTTATAATTTATAATACAGCTTGCTGCTGCAACTATGTTAATATTGATTTCTCTATTAAAACAAATACGTAACAATTAAACATGACAAATTCATTATGTGACAAATTCAGTACGTGAAATATACTCTTATGTGATATTGATTCAAATGTATGAAAAAAAACCTGTTTACCTTCCTATTTTTTCTATTGCTTGTAGTATAGAAGAAAGCGTGTCAACATTTTTCGAATGCTTTGAAAACATAGTGAAAAGAAAAGTAACAGTGCCAGATTTCGATATATTAATATTCTCGTGCAAAACAAAAGCATGTGGTACAGAATGTGAAAGCGCATATAGAGAAGGTAAAACATTTTCATTAATTGTAGAACAAGGTAACAATTCGTATAATTCTACGTCTCTTTTCTGTCTTATGTACATGAATAATAGGTTGAACCAAATTATGGATGTTTCATAAGTAATATTTTCATTCATTAAACCTTGGCAATATATCCATTTTTGCCAAGTTTCCAATAGTCTGCAAATAAAAAACATATAATTCTAATTAAACATATAACTTTATTTAAAGAATAAATCTAGCGCACTTGTATATAATCCCAGCAAACAATTTGGTTGTCAGATGTCGCGATTTTATCGCCAACCGCCACATCAAATCCATATCTATCTGTGTTCCCAGTAGGATATGGTTTTGATGAGTTTTGGTGACTATGTTGCGTTTTTTGTGTCTATGTGTTAACAGCTTTGGCAGCACACAAAGCATGTTTCCGTATTATAGCGTTTCTGCACACAGTTTCTGTTGCCAGGTCTGCACAGTCAGAAATTGTTTGCTGGGATTGTATCAAAATGACGAATTTGTGACTACAAGGTGCTAATAAAAAAATAAAGAATAAAACATACTTCCATCGTGCAGTATTATTGAAATGCAATTCTAATGTTGCATTAATATGGTCATTGCACTTTGAACTACCAAGTATGCACGTCCATTTTAAAACTTCGTGAAATAAGTGATTACTGATACTATTCTCTGAAGAATATATGTCAAATAAGTCATCTATATCATCAAGAAACTTATTCAATATTGTCAGGAATCCATTCTATAAAAAGATAATGTATTATACTAGAATTCTAAATTGAACTTAATATTTACTGATCTTTGTATTATTTATTGTTTCATATCGAAGAGTTGTTACAGTTCAATAATTGTAACGCATATGATTATTATATATTTTTTCTAATCTTCTTTCTAATCAATTTTTTCTAATCTGTAGTACTTACTAAATTACATGCATGTTACAAATATAAGATTACAAAGTTCAGTTTTTCTTTCATTTATTACATCTATTGTTTATTGCTTTTGTAATCAAATCTTCTTCTTGTGTAAATGATATATTTGTGCAACTCAGTATATCACAGACTTTTTTGTACTTTATTTGTGAATCAAAAGTAAATAGGAAAAAATTTAAATTGCGGAGAAAGATTTACATTCTCTAAATTCAATAAACTTAGAGGAATCGGGTTTTATTTTCTACAATATTTTAACAATTTAGAATATGCATGATAATATAAGGACTTTAGAATACTCTATAATATTATCTGTTTTATATACACTATTTTTATATTATTTTCGTGATCGTGCATATCTCTAACTAAAACTAACGTATTCCGAGTTTGAAGATTTTGCCATTCACTAACCATAACTCTCACTTTACTCATGCACTTTATCAATTGTTCGGTTTACGAGAAAGTGTATTGTAACAGACAGTAGAGTATTATTTTTCTAATTACTTGCAAGTTACTATCATATAATAACATTAATTAAATTTTCTAAACTATTATCTAAGGAATTCCAATACAAATAATAAATATTTAATATTTTTATACTTTCTTTTTTCGATTATAATGACGTACTATAAGTTTTGCGACTTTTTTTATGTTTATAACATTCTGTGTTCTAAATTGTATTTTTGTTATGATGTCGGCTAAAGAAACACAAAGGCGTGAAAACTTTCCGTACACTACATATATATAAATTATAAGAATACTTTAACAAAGTTTCTCTTATCATTTAGTTGTAAAAATCATTATGATCTTTTATGATTATGTATTTCTTATATGTACTGTAATACTATTTACCTTGATACGTTTGGTGACAACACTTTGTGAATACAGAAAATCGTTTGACATGTTTTCAAGACCAATAAGTAGAGGATACCACGCTTTGTACGACTTGTCCACACGAACTAAACTGCTTGCAATGTCAAAATATATGTCTACATCAGTACCCATTGGAACAAGCAGTCCGTTACATATTATATTTTGCATCAAAAAAAAAAAAGCATCGTCGAAAATGTGTGCTAAAGTAATATCAGATAAATCAATGGATGTGGTCTCTGCATTTTTTAAGAAAAGACCAATATTCTTCCAGTATAGGTCGTAGTTGACACGATATCCTAAACAATTTAATGTTTAGAGAGAGAGAGAGAGAGAGAGAGAGAGAGAGAGAGAGAGAGAGAGAGAGAGAGTCAGTGTAAGAGAAAGAAAAAAACAGTGAAAAAACATAGTACTTATAATTACTATGTAAATAAGTGATTATATTACTTTTTATTAAGAATAGTGAAAGTTTCAAATAATTATATATAAAATAAAATTATAAATATGTCTGTTACTACATTACCATAACTGTTTACGACAAGAATAAACTCATCTCTCTTAAGTTCCAGAAACACCGGCAAATAATCAGAATTGTTTTTGTATGGTGGTAAATTATACTGATGGGCGGAAATAAATTTTGTTGTTGTTACTTTGTAAAACATTATAGGTATCCACCACTTGTTCGAACACGGCTCCGTTTGATCAACGTCAAAACAGTCTGTAACCTTTATCTCCAAATTTTGTAATTTTCTGTGTTGTATTATTTGTATCACAGGATATCCAACATGTGCTGTCCATGACGTTATTATTTTTTTAGTCATCGACTGTTGAACTTGCATTAGGTGATACGCAGCTGAATCCAAATACCTTTTGTAATTGGAATTCCAAAATTTGCTGAGAAGTGACTGTTCATTATACGTAACATTCGATGTACTACTAGTGATAATAGTATCAGTAACAACAAATAAAGCGTTAATAATTGTTGTAAATCTCGAAGAAAAATATTTGATGATTGTTTAAAAGTAAGATAATTTTACAAATAATGTCACTAACATTTAAATAACAATTGTTGGAGTACTCTAATAATTTGTACATACTCACGTGTTATAATAAAAGGTTAGAGCTTTTTTAAACATACTAGTATATAACATATCATTTCTAAATATAGTACTGAACATAGAGAAGATATTGAATGCTATAACATAATTTTTTCTTAGTATTAAAATTATAAAATTTTACTAAAAAGAATATTTAAAGTATTAATATTTATATATTTATACATTGTAAGTAAAGACGTTTACTTTTTAAAACTACTTATAAAATACTTTGTTTGAATATAAAAAAAATAAAAATAATTTACCATATCCCTCAGTAAAAAAAGATATTCAATTAGTTTTTGTCATATTTTCACTTACATGACATATTCAAATACTATGTTTGAAACAAAATTTGCAGTATTTTTTAACAAAATAAAAAATAGTTGCAAAGTTGTACTTAAAACTAAATTACATTACTATTACATTAAATTACAATTCCAATTTTGTGTTTACTTTTTATTAAAATATCTTTATCTTGTATCACTAATAAAGCGTCAATAATTTAGTTTTATTAAAAAACCAAAATGACGAAAATATAACGACGATCGAAAATTGATCACATAAACATGGTGAAGATACCAACACCTATGTGCAGATTTTTTTTGATACAAGATATAGACAGATATTTAAGATATAGACCGAGATGTTATAGTGTTTTGTCTATATATATAATATTGTGTAGACTGTGAAGTTAAGTAAATAGAGGTACTAAATACATTTATTTCTCTTACCTTTTTTTTGCCACAATTTACAAAGTATTGATTGTGATATGAATGAAGTATCATATCTTGTAAATGCTTCTGTATAATCAAAAAATTCTCGTTGTGTTAGAATCACACTTGACTGAAGATAAGATGTACGGTAAAACTACAAATTGAATATTTACTCAAATACTTAAGTAGTTTAGCTAACGTGTAAGTAAAATAATAGGGTAATAAAAGTTTTAAAAATTCAGATTCCGGTGATATTCTTTAGCGGTAAGATACATTAAACGCAGCAAATTATTAATAGCATCATGATCAAGAAGCTGTTTATGTAGTATTTGTTATACATACTCACATTATGTACATGTTTCTATACGCAATAATATTAACATAATCTACTGCTTCTTTTTTAGCGTACATAAACAGAAATAAAGTACATAATATTACCATCACATATTCGCACAACAAAACCTGTATATTTGGTTCCAACTGCCTGTCACGTTGAAATTTACATATTTTTAGAACTATTTGTCCTTTCTCTGAATTATAATTATTTTTTGTTGTTGAAATATTATTGAAGTAAACTCACTACACAAAATAATATAATTATTGAACACAGTTAAGTAATAGATCATTTTTTGTTAATAAAAAAGCACATTAATCTAAAACAACAATTTATTTAGTTCAAAATTTATGGTTTGTAATTAAATACATAATTTGTAATTAAATACATTGTTTGACTTTTTACGTATGTTTAGACTAATTACATATTTTGCACCTTAACTAAGAAACGACGACGATTTTCAACTTTTACTTTAATGGCATCGAGAATAAATAATGGCTAAAACAGATTACATAATATAGTTATAATAAAATTATATACACTTTTTTATAAAATTGATGCCAATTATGATAAAATATAAACATTATAGAATATATTTTTATAGGAAATATATATAGGTCATATTTTTATACGAAAATAGTTTTTTATTAAAAAAAAAAAAAAGCCAAAAGAAGCGCATACATATCTAATATTTCGAATTTAGACTATTAGAAAAATTTGTAAACCTTAAAAAAATATCTATATACACTTCGAATATTGTATAAAAACATTTACCATTTTATATATGTTTGTCAACTGGTGTAAGAACGATTCATCGGTAATCTGAAAACACTTTGTGCTGTTATATACTGAAAGTGATGTGCTTGCATTGTGTAAAAACACTCAATATTGAAAACTAATAATATTCTTACATTATGTTACAATCAATTCAAAATATGTTAACTACTAAATAACTGTATAAGACGCGAGTAAATACATTATTATGTATGAAAAAGCAAAAGTATGGCTTTACACTTATATAAATAAAGTAAATGTGTAAGTTCATACGTACCATCGACAGGTCTTGGATTGAATATATATTGTCAATAATACAGCTTACTATTGCATGTACGTTAATGTTTCTATCAAAATAAGAACGTAAAAGAACAAAACTCTAATAATTAGCGTATCAACTTTGTTAGTGTGTACAAAATACTGTTATACAATATGATATGATAATAACATTGTATGCAAAAAAAGTTTTTTACCTTTGTAATACTTTGTGTTCTATTTCTTGTAGTATAGCAGTCAAGGATTCAGTATTTTTTGAATGCTTTGCCAACATATCGAAAATAAGAGAAACACGATCACTTATCTTATGATTTCTAATAAATGTACATAAAGGTAGAAAAGAAGAAGAAAGCAAATTGAAAGACATTAAAATATTAGAATGAAGTGTAGAACAACTTAAGAATTCAAATAATTCTATATGTTTTGACTGATTTCTGTATGTGTTCAATAGTGATTGCCAAATTACGGATGAGTCATAAGTGACATTTTCTAACATTAAACCTTGGCAATATATCCATTTCTGCCAACTTGGCAAAAGTCTACAAATAAAGAAATTAAAACTCTTTACAGAACAATCCTAACGCTATTCTATCACTTTTTTTAATAATTTTATATATTGTTTTAATATCAAAATACTATATCAAATTTTTTATGTCACAATCGCAGTTACATATACTATAAGTTTAGTAGCAAGATGACGCCTTGTAACTTCACTGGACGTGAAATTGTTAACAAAAAAGTAAAAACTAAAACGTACTTGTTTTTTGCAATATTTGTAAAATGCCACTCTAATGTTGCATTAACATGATCATTGCACTTTAAACTGCCAAGAACGCATGACCATTTTAAAATTTCGTGATATAATTGATTACTGACAGTATTCTCTGAAGAATATACGTCAAATAAGTCATGTATGTCATCAAGAAACTTATTCAATATTGTCACGAGTCTATCCTATAAAGAAATAATGTGTTCTATTATACCATATATTTAATTCCTAATTGTACTTAATATTTAAATAATTAATACTTTCTGTGTACTTTCTTGTTCCATAATAAATAATTGTTATATTTTACTACTTGTATTGCGTATAATTAATAGATTGATCACTTCTTTCTAATTTTTATTATTTATAAAATTCGGTGCATGTTTTGAAAATATAAGATTACAGAGGTAATTGTTTCTTTTATTTACTACATATATTGCTTATTCCTTTTGTCACTTAAAATTTATTCTTATGCAAACAATATATTTGTACTCAATATCACAAGCTTTGCGGAGTTTATTTATCAATCAAAAGTAAACAAGGCATAGAAAATTTAAATTGCGGAATAAAATTTACTTTTTTTAAATTCGTAAAATCTTAGAAATCGTGTTTACTTTTTACTATATTTTAACAAGCTAAAATATGCACTTTTTATATAACTAACACTTTTACAGTATCGTATAATATTTGCTTTTTTTTCCATAGTATTTTTATATTATTTCTTGTATACTTAGTGTATACTTAGTAGCTAATTATTACTAATGTATTCTAAATTTGAAAAATTTGCTGTTTACTATAATCATGACTTCCATTTACTTATGCACTTTATCAGTTGTTTGTTTTACGAGAAACTGCGTTATCAACATTAAAGTAAACTTTTTATTAATATGTCCGTTTTTGTGTACTGTAATATTATTTACCTTGATATGTTTAGTGACACCACTTTGTGAAAACAGAAAATTCTTCGACATGTTTTCAAGAGCAGTAAGAAAAGGATACCACGCTATGTAGGACTTCTCCACACGAAATAAAGTGCTTGCAAGGTCAAAGTATATGTCCACATTACTATCATCTGAAGCAGGATTTTCGTTATACTTTGTATTTTGCATCAAAAAATAAAAAGCATCGTCTAGAATTTGTGCTAAAGTGACATCAGACAGTTCAGTATGTGTATACTCTCCATTTTTTAGGAAAAGAGCAATATTCTTCCAAGATTCACGGTCATAGTTAACGCGATATCCTGCAACAATTAAATAATTAGAGAAAAAGAGAAACAGTGTAAGAGAAAAAAAGTGTAACAACACAGTAATTGTAATTACTACATTTAAATATTGCAATATGTACATACAAAATAAATAAAAAATTAATAATTAATATTTAATGCTACAGTACCAGTGCTGTTCACGAAAATGACAGAATTATGTTTACTAGTAGACCATGTAACTATAGTATTGTTGTCGTCTATTCGTAGCATATCATCATATGTGAAAAGAATTTTTGTCGTTGATATTTTGTGTAATCTTACAGGCAACCACCGATTGCGCTTAAACTCTTCTTTTTGATCAACGATAACACATTCTATTTTCACTAATGTCAAATATTGTTTATCATCGTATCGTCGTACTTGTATTACAGGATACCTAACTTGTGCTGTCCATGACGTTAGTAAATGATTGATATATTCTATATACGCAATCTGATCTGAAGAATTCTCAAACTTGTTGTTCCAGAACTTATCAAAATGCGACAATTCATTGTTTGAATCAGTTGATGTACTATCATTGACAACAGTCACCGTAACAACAAATAAAGCGTTATTAATTGCTTTAAATCTCAAAAAGAAATATATGATGACTGTTACAAAGTATGAGGATTTTTTGAATAGTGTCACTAACACTTCAATAAGAAGTTTCAAAGTATTTCAATAATTTTTACATACTCACGTGTTATAATATAAGTTTACAGCTTCCTGAAATATAGAAGTGTATAGGAAACCCCCACTAAAAGCTACACTGAGCATATAGAAGGTACTGAATGCTATAACATAATTCATAGTAGTAATATTATAAATTTCTAATTAAAAGAATATTAATAATAGTAAATCTCACATACATAAAAAATCTATAAGCTACAACCTACGATTGGTAGTGATAAAAAATACGATAATGCTAAGAATTTATTGGAACGTTTGAAAAACCCTTTATTGTAATCATCTTCAGTCAATCTTGATAAGTAATGAAATTTTACATTAAAAATGATGTTACGGTAGCATATTAATGAATAAAGTGAGAAGTGCGTAAAAAATATTCTCTCTATTAATTGACATGCTGCCATAACATTTTTTAAATGTAAAATGTTACTAATGATCAAGATTAACTGAAGATGAACACAATAAAGAGAATCAAAATGTTCCAATAAATTCTCATTATCGTATTTTTTATCACTACTACCAATCGTGGATTGTAATCATAGATCTTTTAATTTTTTGAGATTTGACTTAAGAGGTCGTCATTACTGGTAATTAATAATAATAATGTTTATACATTCATACATTATAAATAAAGTTACTTTTTATCTAACACATAGGAACAAACATTTTAATGTACTATTCTTACGTACATACATATATGAAATTAAAGTATTTGTTATGTTTTTTACTTTTTAGCAATTTATAATAACTTTATTAATTAATATACACCATACTAGGCCTTTAAAACAACATTCAATTACTTCATAAATACCACAACTTTATAAATAAGCAACATTTCAACTTTACATTCAACCTCAAAGCTGTAATCCATCGTCATTCGTAGTAAATTAATTGATTACGAAACAGGAAATTTGACTGTTAAAAATTTAATTTGTCGTTGACTCTTCCCGTGCGGTCACTGACATGTAATTGCAAATAATTCTTATTGTCATCTTTATCAGAGCTCAGATTGACTGAAAACGATCACTACTGTATGATCACAATGTCTTAATCATTTAATGCGTAGTTTCTTTTCTGCTACGTAATCACTTAATTTGCCACGAATAACGGTGGACTACAACTACGAGATCAAATATAAAGTTTGTATTTTAATAATATCTATATTCTCTAATTTACACATGCAAATATTATCGGCTAATTTCTCACAAGAGTATTTTTCCTGTTTTGTATTACATCACAAGAACAGATACGATTAACAATATTTCTAAAACAATTTTGTTTTTATATATAAAAAGAATAAAACTATTATACCACATTCATCAGTGAAAAAAGGTTTTCGGTAAGTCTTTGTCGTATTTTCACCTACATGACATATTCAATTACAAACTTAACTTTGTGTATATATATATATATATATATATATATATATATATATAAATAACAAGAAAACAACAAAAATAAATACTATGTTTGAAACAAGATTTGCAGTATTCATTTTCATCAAAATGAAAAGTAATCGCGAAGTTTTACTTACAAAGTGAGTTACGTTTTTATTACAATTAAATTACAATTTCAAATTTGTATCAACTTTTTATTATTAAAATATATTTATCTTGTAAAAATAATAAAGCAACAAATATTTCTGTTGTATTAAAAACGAAATTGGCGAAAATATAACGACGATCGAAAATGTTTGACCACATAACTATGTTGGCGATACCAACAATAATTTGCAAACTTTCTTTTAGACCATTCTTAAGATATACATATTAAGATTTCATGCTTTGTCTATATATTATTTTGTAGACTGTGAAGTTAAGTAAATAAAAATACTAAATACATTTATTCCTCTTACCTTTTGTTTGCCACAATTTACAAAGTATTGATGTTTGTGCTATGAATGAAGTATCATATTTTAATGTTTCTGTGTACTCAAAAAATTCCCGCCGTGTCTGAACCACAATCGGATTTAGTAAAGACATACCGTAATGCTACAACAAATTGAATAATTACACAAATACGTACGTAGTTTAGATAGTGTGTAAGTACAAAAGTAGGGTAATAAAAGTTTTAAAAATTCAGATTACAATGATATTCTTTATCAGTAAGATACATTAAACGCAGAAAATTATTACTAGCTGCATGATCAAGAAACTATATATGTAATTTATACTATACATACTTACATTATATATGTTTCTATGCTATAATACTAATATAATATAATGCTTATTTTTTTTACCGTAAATAGACAAATAAAATATTATCAATATTTAGTACAAGTTCCAAAATAGTTCTCAGATTAAGATATTGTTTCTTAGTTGTCACATTTATGATTGTGTAAAACTGTATCTAGTTCAGAAATACATAAGACTAACCTGATCGTGAAAATATACGCCGTATACTGTTGAAAAACCTTCGACAAACCAAAGATCAGATTGTTTATCTGTAGCTAACCAATTACTGAACATTTCTTGTATCACACTGCGTACTACCAAACATGTTACTTCTTTTCTTCTTATAATTGAATCTACTTTTTCGTCGTATATAATGTCATTTTCACTAAAAATAAATAAGTTGTAACTGTTACAACATTTGACTCTCTTCGAAATTACTACATACCGATGAAAACTATAATTATAGTAACGTTTGTTTTTTCGGTATGTACATAATGTTTTAGAAGCTTGTTTTTGTGTTTTGAGTTCCGTATCTCACCTGAAGATAACAAGTCCTTCAATTATTACAGTTTTGTAATTAGTCGCATTTACTGGAAGTATCAGGTAAGTAACCTTACGTGATTGTGGAATGACTTTATTCCACGTGTTTCTGATATGTGTGTAAATATTTTGAATAAGACTTTTTGCATAGAATAAGTTATTTTCTGCCTGTTTTCTGCTTTTAAAAATAATTTTATCTTTTGATATTAACTTGGCAGATATGTAGTAAGAGTTTGGTATAATAGCTAGTACTATCGAATGTGTGAATATTGGTGGTGTACTAGTAAAATCTGTAAAGACCAGTGACTCTTCTGAATAAAAATTTTGTTTTTTAATATCCGTATTTGATACAACAGTATCAGTATTTTTATGTGTAACTTTAATAGTAAAGGTAGCTTTGGTTGCTGGATTTTTCCAATACGGAAATATCCATTCGGCAGGAATACGCGGTAAAATCAGAAAGCTGAAAGAATAAAAATTATATAGAAACCACTATAAGAATAATTACGTAGATAAATTAGTAGATAAATATATTACATTAAATAAATTTTTAAGTAGTAAATTAAATTTGTAAAACTTAGTAAATTCAACATTTATAAATCATATTAATGATTGAATAAACAAATGTAGTATTTATAGATTAAAATTCTATAAAAGAAACAACTTTTTAGTGAAATAACTCGCGTTTTATAGAAATATGTATTATTAGTAAAAGTACTCTATAATATATAAATGCAATGTAATTGTTATATAATGTATAGTGATTACCATACAAAAATGTTTTTTTGAGTTTGAACCGTGTTAGTGTCATTTTTATAAAAATAAAATTTTTATAAAAATTTCTACTTACGCGGTTCAAATCCGCAAAAACATCTTTGTATGTTAATACACATCGCGAAAGCATCAAATATCAAATATATAGTGATATAATATTGTTATATAATATATATTACTAATATTATGTCATGTATAATATACAATTTGTATATCTAGTTGCAATATTAAAATTTACTATATATAAATATCTCGTAAATAATGTTTTGATATTAACGTGCTGTAGAAATAAGTATAGTCTATAAATAACATTGTATAATGGTGTTTGCAGCATTTGAAAATTTTAATATGTATTAGTTTTTTATGCACTTACTCTGTCTTGTTAAGTGGTTGATTTATGTATGAAAATGCTATCGCAACGTCTTCTAAACGACAAGTATATGTCGAATTTATCGAGTATTTTCCGGGAGTTAATTTTATTCCCTTGTGTAGAGTTAGTATATCTAGTTCAAGGTATTTAGTCGTTATTTTGTATTCTGATGTAAAGTTTACACGATCTTGTTCGATAAAACTAATGTCCACACTTTTAAATCGATCTTCCGAAAGATATAAATTTTCTATATATCTGACTTTACTTTGAAAATGACCAGAAATGTTAGATTTCATTGTTAATGAGCGTAAATTGCAAGAACGTGCCATATATAATCTTATGTATTGTTGTGTACATGTAATGGTTATATCAACATTAGAAGCAATAGTAAACTTGGTGTTTGGTAGTCCCAGTGAAATGTGATTATATGCTATCGGTGTTATACACTGCAATATAGCCGGCACATTCTTATCAGTGAAAGAAGCAATTCCGGTTATTAAGCCTATAATTCCAAAGAATTTGAGTGTTTGCATAATCCGTATCTGTAAAATTAATTTCTTTGTCAAACACCAAATAAAATATTTGTGATTGTTAAACACAAATAAAAACCACAGAAGAACTTGATAAGGTCTTTTTTTTTTCACTTTTTTTTGTTTTTGATGTTAGTTGGTAGATAAAATAGAGTATTTTAACTAAATTGTTTAGTAGAGAGAGATAAAATAAAGTATTTTAATTATCTAAAATGAAATAAAAAAATTATTGATTGATTCCGAGATATACGCAAATTTATAAAACGTGTAAAGAGTAGTACACGTACGTTTCGAACTGTACAATCGGTCCTCTTTAAAATTACGAAATTGTTATTTATCAAGTTCTTTTCCTGCGGTTTTCAAGTATGTATTTTATATACAAACAAAATATTGTCAATCCATTTTGGTAAAATTTAAAAAGTATCTATTATTATTATAACGATTAGTTTACATCCAGCATAAATAACTGTAGAAGCATAAATCTCATATAAATAAATTATTTATAAAAGTATACGATTAATACTTTTGACTACATATAAACTCAATTAAAATTTGCGGCAATTACTTTGATTTACACTCTAGCAGAGTCTCAGTGAAAAGTACCGGCTATCACTAATCGGATCACAGTTAATGGTACTGAGTTACCGTTACTGAGTTGTATTAATGGCAGTTTCACGTACTTAAAGTGACAGTAATATAAACAATGGAGTTTATTACATTATAAATTAATTAGTATTTAATTTTTCGAAATTACTGCCTAAAAAAGTTTTTATCAATAAAAGAGATAGGAAGCAATGTTACATATCATACTGGAACCATTTTTACATTACACGTCTCTTAATATAATTAAATGAAATTACGCGATAGCCTTGAAATGGCAGTAATTGAAATATCTATCCTATATTATTTCTAAACAAAATGAATCTAGACAAATTTGTTTATAGTTTCTTAAGCGCATTTTTAATACTAAATTATATGGTACAATAAAGTACAAAAAATACTTTTTTATTGTACTACTAATTGCATAATATTAATATATGTATATTATATATTAATTGTTTTTGTTATTTTACACACACATATATACAATATATAAAAATATAACT